CGTCCGCCGGGAGGGCCTGCGCAGGGTGCAGCTCTCCCGGCAGGAGGCCATCGCCCAGGTCAAGAGCTTGTGAGTCTCCGGAGCCCTCCCGGCTGTGGGGCCCCTGGGGCCTCTGCTGCTGGGATGGCTCCTCTGGGGCCGCGGAGGGCCTGGGCTCCTGCCAGCCTGGCCACCGTAAAGCGTATGAGTGTGGGGGAGCCAGGGTATGGATTTGTGGGGCCTTTTTGTGATTGTGAGGTCTCATTCGCAGCCTGATCCAGCTGGAGGGGCTCCTGAGCGGGATGTGCTGCAGCTGCGAGGCGGTGTACCGTGTACTGTACTGGGAGAACCCCACTGTCTCTTCCCAGTGAGTAGTACCGGGTCAGGCATCCTGCGGTGGGCTCAGAGGGAAGAGGGACCTGGCCAAGCCTGTGGACCTGCGTTTGATGTGTTTGGTCCTTGGAGAGGGCGGGTGGCGGACCAGATGAAGGAAGGGGACTTGTGTGTGGTGTGAGGTGCTCTGTTGTGACAGCAGTGTCTTGCTGCTCCTTCCCAGGTTTTATGGGGCACTGCTGGGCTCTGTCTGCATCCTTTACCTGCTGCCCCTCTGCTGGGTACTGGCCATTCTCAACAGCACCCTCTTCCTGGGCAACACCCAGTTCTACCAAGGTAAGAGACCTCCCTGGAAGTGGCCTGTGTGGGATGTTTTGGGGAAAGGCCTGCTGAAGCCAGGGATCCTGCCCTGACCTCTCCCAGCCACCTTCATGTGATCCCTGTGTTGGGCTCTGCCATGGGATCTGATCCTCCCCTGAGGGCAACAATGTCCTAAGAGTGGTGCTCAGGAGCCTAGGCTGGGTGGTGGGGTCCTGGGGCTCAGCTGTAAGAGGTGTCAGTCTCTCCTGATGTGTGTCCTGGCTTGGGTGTTGTTTCCTGCTCTCCTCTGCGCTGTGGCAAACTGGGGCCTGGCAACACAGCCTGTGCATGAGCATCGCCACCCCTCTCGGTCCCTGACCCTGCTCTGCAGGACCTGAAATACTTTCAGTGCCTGTGGCAATGTATGACGCAGGCTTGAAAGTGTGCTGTTGGAGGGGAGGAGAAGAGCTGGAGGCACTCTCTGTTCTGTGGCTCGTGTTGGAGGAGATCTGTGTGGCTGAGCTGTGACTAAGACCCTTGCTGTTCCCTTGCCTGAGCTGGGGCAGGTGGGGGGGGGGTTCCTTGCTGCCCTAACTTTGATGTGTGAGCAGAAGGAGGGCTTAAGGTACCTGGTGGGTGAAGGCTGTGTGTGCCAATGTCCCACCCTGAGCCCTGGAGATGGGCTCTTGCAGCTGGCTCTTGTGTGTTGGGGCTAGGGGGAAGGAATTGCCCCCCCGCTGCAGCC